GAAAGAAAGAAAGAAAGAAAGAACAGAAAAAAAGAAGGAATGTTGCAGTTAAGAAGAAAAAGAATGAAAGAATGGAAGGAAGGCTGTATGAATGCAGTTATATATTCTCGTGAAAGATTGAAAGAATGCGGTTAAGAGAAAAAGAAAGAAAGAAAGAAAGAAAGAAAGAAAGAAAGAAAGAAAGAAAGAGCCGAACAGGAAAAAAGAAGGAATGTTGCAGTTAAGAAGAAAAAGAGGAAAGAAATCCTAAAGAAAGAAAGAATGAAAGAATGGAAGGAAGGCTGTATGGATGCAGTTATATATTCTCGTGAAAGATTGAAAGAATGCAGTTAAGAGAAAAAGAAAGAAAGAAAGAAAGAAAGAAAGAAAGAAAGAAAGAAAGAAAGAACGAAAGAAAGAAAGAACAGAAAAAAAGAAGGAATGGTGCAGTCAAGAAGAAAAAGAGGAAAGAAATTCTAAAGAATGAATGGAAGGAAGGGTGTATGGATGCAGTTAAATATTCTCGTGAAAGATTGAAAGAATGCAGTTAAGAAAAAAGAAAGAAATCCAAAGAGAAAGAAAGAAAGAAAGAAAGAAAGAAAGAATGAAAGAAAGGATGAAAGAAAGCAGTTAAGCGAAAAAAAAAAAGGAAAAATAAATCCCGAACAAGACCAAAAGCAAAAAAAAAAAAAAAGTAGGGGAAATTTCCTTTTAGACTTAAAATGAAGGAAAGCGTCCAGGGAAATAATGTTCCTGGGAGTTTGAAAACTCGTGGAGCCGTCAAGACAGATGGATGGAGACTTGGGAATAATGTAGCGAAATGAAAGGAAATAAAAATAGCCGGAGAATATAATTAAAGAAATGTAAAGAAATATTAAGAAAACGAAAATGAGATGTAAATAGAACGAGATAGGAGGATGCAGATAATCACTATCGACGAACGCAGACATTCATTCCGACATCCCTGGCACATCACTTACACACACATAATATATATATATATATATATATATATATATATATATATATATATATATATATATATATATATATATGTATACATGTATGTATGTATATATTTTCTTCCTCACTGGTGGCACAACTCTGATTTTAATGCACAATGCAATCGTTAGGTGCTGATTAATTTATAATTCATATTATATATATATATATATATATATATATATATGCATACACACACACACATATATATATATATATATACACACACACACACACACACACACACACACACACACACACACACACACATATATATATATATATATATATATATATATATGAAAAATATAGTCTTAAGGTGTGCTATATTTATTGGATAAAGTGCTCAATATCAGAGATAGAGCGTGTGTAAATATAAAAGTGAACATTGAAGTCAACACTTAGAGGCGACAGGCTGTTTCATGCTAAAGGCAAACGTCAGGTAACCTGGCCGGACGATTACGTCTAGCATGAATCAAACTTTTCGCCTTTGACTTCAATGTTCACATATATATATATATATATATATATATATATATATATATATATATATATATATATATATATCGAGGGTTTGAACGTTCGGTTTCTGACCATGAGACCCGGGTGGGAATCTCACCATAGTCGATTTGTTAGGAAAGAGACTTCGTCTATGTTATCGTTCTGGAGTGGGACAATGCCAGCGTGTGGCACCTTTGGAAAGTGCATGGAAACCATACCACTGGTTTACCCAAGCCTTGTGAGTGAAATAGGCTAGACAGAACACTTGGGGCTGTCGAAAGCTGTGCTAGAACTAAGCCACAATTCATCGTGACCGAGATCATTCTAGTTAACAAGCTCTCTCCCAGAAACGATGAGCTTTAAAAAAGGACTCGTAACTGGAAAACTTCGGTCTGCCCAGCATAGTTGCAGTATAAACCACAGGCTGGCTCTGGGAGTGTTAAACAAACACAAATGGGCCTGAGCGAGAGTCTGCATTAGGGGTTGGCTAGCCTCCCTAGCAGACGAGTATCCTCGAATTCGTGTGGCCAGCTATTATATATATATATATATATATATATATATATATATATATATATGTGTGTGTGTGTGTGTGTGTGTGTGTGTGTGTGTGTGTGTGCAGCAACATATATATATATATATATATATATATATATCTTTTGCAGAAACATTTCTTTCAAATATCTTTCATTGGAAACGGTCGACAAAAAAGATCTTTTATTGAGTTTTTCCAATATTCTAAAAGTTTCTGTTTTTATAACAAATACGGACAATTTTTATATTCTTTAACCCCTGAGACACGGAAAGGAAAAATGTTAGAATGATGGAAAAAAATTAATTGAATCTTTCTTAGTTATCTTATTTACATTATTCGGGGCGTTATCCTCATCTTCATTGTCATATTCACAACGTTTCGACTGTTGTACGCTCAGGCCTTCTTCAGGTGATTGGAATTTCGAACTTCCAATCATATGAAGAAGTCCGGGATATTCTTAGCATCCTTCTGTACAATCAGATACCTGTCAAGTCTCCTCTTCATTTGTAAGGAGATTTCCAGAACTCACTACTGTACAGGAATAGGACAGATACTGCATCACAGTCCACTTATTTTCTTTGTTTCAAATGACATTTACCTATTTCTGACCTTCTGAATAGTATCACTCACTATTCAAATGCATCTGTGTATCAGACGCATTTGAATAGTGAGTGATACTCTTCAGAAGGTGTGAAAATGTATTTATTGTTAACATTCTTTTTTCATTCGGTTTTTCCAGTTATGAGTCCTTTTTTTTAAAGCTGATCGTTTTGTGTTTATTTTGTTTAGTTTTTTTTTGTAATAGATTTAATGTTTAGTATAGAGCTTAGAAAAAATTCGCAGTGTGAGATAGGCAAGAAGTTAGGCATGTAGCAACATCATCACGGCAAAGGGCACTCCTTTAAAGGCAAGGAAGGGCAAAAATATTTTAAGTCAAGTGATAACGATTGCTGTATGAGTCGTACGATTTTTGAATCAGGCACGGGCAACGCATGGCCATGCTGCTAGTAATAATAATAATATACAAAGTGATTGAGGTAACTTTTCCAATATTTTTCAACAGTTAAGAGAAGAGTACCATTTAAGAAAAGAAAAAGAAAAACACAATGTTTAACAATGTTAAACAATATTTCAACAGAATATACGTCTTCGGTTTATATTAAAAAATACAGGTATAAAAATACATAAATCTACAAAAGATTGTACAAAAGTTGTTTGTCGTATAATGAAAAAATAACGTCTGTACTGGTAATGAACGTATTAAGTCGAATGATACGCCTACAGCGTAAAGGCAGGCAAGCTGAAACATGCTTAATATGATGTCGATCTTGTTCATTTTTGAAATTTTCCGTTATTTGATTAGTTACGAAGAAAAATTAATCAAACAGCTTAGTATAAATCGTATGGAACTCTCCTGTTAATCTGTCCATTCCTCCGGGCCAGGGCGTGATTACTTTGCATACGTTACTAACTTACTAACTTCCGGGCCCGGAAGATATGTCTAGGGATATCGTTCAGTTCTTGTTTTATGTAGTACTCCTCAGTTTATGGACACTGCGGACAGCCTCATGGATTGGGCTTACAACATGTCAGAAAATTCACAAACCATAGCATTTACCCACTAGACTATAGTCTAATGAATAAAAAAATGAATTTGGTGACATATAATTAATATAAGACTAGAGGGTATGCCTAGACATGAGCAGTGAAACAAGAATAGTCTAACCCGGTAGATTAAAGAAAGGGTTCAATTCGGAATTTTCTATTGGTTAACCAGATTGATGAAAATCTGAAGAATGCCGGAGGACACACTGGCCGAAACTTTCTGAAATAAAAACAAGGATGATGAAAATAGTCCGAGTATAAATAGTGTATATAATGTTAATTCCACATTCTATAAATTAATGGAAAAATTATTTCTTCCGTTATACTTTAACCTGAGCAGTAGCTGATAAGAAATCTCTTCTTCCAGTAATCACCTTTAATACGGATTAATGAAGAACACTGTCAATCGTGCTCATTGACTCCCATAGCTAACCTATTGGCTTAATCTGTAGTAGTAAAAAAATGATCTTCCATCGTCAAAATTGGAATATTTCAGTAAAAAAGTATAGGCTTCGAATTTTGTGGTTGGCTGTGTTGTCAGGATAAGCAAGAAGAACATGTGAAAATTCGGCAAATATGTCTGGAAGATTGGAAGAAAAGTATTAGCTTTTACACACATATTATGCTGACTGCTTCCATATTTTGCGCTAGGCTTCAACTTCGATGTCAGCGGAAAGGCATCAACAGGGTCTAAATTATGTCTTTTCTCGACAAACTGATTGCGGAACTAGGCAGGTAGCAAAGAAGATGGCGGAGAATAACACTTAGAAAAAAGAAAGCTTGAGTCCCATGTTGCGGCAATAAAAATGGACGTGAATAATACAAGAAAAAATGGCTGACACAAATATGGAGAAAAAAGAAACAAAGAAAATTTAAAGAGAAGAGGAAAGGTCACGCCAAATGCTAAGAGATTAAGGAAGGCAATTTTGTAGGAAAACGGAGAATGTGGACTGCAGAGAAGAAGAAGAAGTGTTAGAAATGAAAGGAAGGAGTAAATCAAAGAAAGAAAGAAAGAAAGAAAGAAAGAAAGAAAGAAAGAAAGAAAGACTGCTCCAGAATAAAGGGAAAATAGTCATGTATAACTGAGCATACTAAAAGGGGAGTAGAAAAAGAATATATAAAATTCAATGAGTAGAAGAAAGAAAGAAAGAAAGAAAGAAAGAAAGAAAGAAAGAAAGAAAGAAAGAAAGAAAGGTTAATAATATTAATAAAATATGAATAAAAAATGATAATGCAACACCGGAAATGAAGAAGAAATAAAGAGAAAAAGAAAGAAAAATAAGAAAGAAAAATACAATAATAATAATTATTATTATGATAATACAACATTAAAGATAGTAATGCAGAAGAATAAAAATAATGGGGAGAATAAAATAAATTAGTTGAAGAAGGAAAGAAAGAATGAAAAAAAGAAAGAAAGAAAGAATGAATGAATGAATGAAAGTTTAATAAGAATAATAATAAAATATGAATAAAAAATAATGCCGGAAATGAAGAAAAAAAGAAAGAGAGAAAGAAAGAAAGAAAAAATAGAAATAAAATAATAATAATTATTATTATTATTATAATACAGAATTAAAGATAGTAATGCAGAAGAATAAAAATGATGGAAAAAATAAAATAAATTAGTTGAAGAAGGAACGAAAGAATGAAAAAAAGTATGAAGGAAAGAAAGAATGAAGGAATAGTATATGATAAATGGAAAACAGGAATGGCCAAAAGTAAATAAAAAAGGTGAAAAAAAGAAGTTTGAAAATTTAAAAAATACGTAACAGTAAGAAAGAAAGAACGAAAGAAAGAAGAAGAAGAAGAAAAAGAAGAAGAAGAAAAAGAAGAAGAAACAGAAGAAGAAGAAGAATGTAATGATTTCTATAAAGACATGAAAAAACAAAAAAAAAATAATAAAGATATAAAAAAACTTCGCTGCAAATAATTTCTAAGTTGGTAGCTACAATCCTGAAACCAACGGAATATAAACAGTGCACATGTTTAAACGAAAGAGAAAAGGGAATAATAAAAGCAGGCGAATAAAGATGTTGAAAGTGGTTATGGCAAATGTAAAAATAGAAAGAATAAATAACATCAAATCTTCCACGGAAATCAAGAGCAACAGTGAAGAAAATCGGCGGGAATGGCAAAACCTGAAAAATAAAAAATAAAAACAATGAAAGGGAAGTAATCTCATTGGGTGCGTGGAGGGAACAAACAGGGATCCTTAGTAATTTCGCTAAAAGCCGTAAGTCATTACATTAAAACCTAAAAACAACTGATTTTCCAAAGCAAGCTAAACAAATGATGAAAATCCTAAGATTCTGACTGCACGCGTTTACTGAAATGACCATTTCCGCCGACGTCTCAGCGGCTTACGTCTGCAAAAACCTTTTTCCCGGGGCATTCGTCAAATAAAAGCCAGACTTTTGAGTCCCTCGGACATTTCTGTATTAGAAAAGAACCATATGTTGAGGCATTTTGAAAGAGCAAACCTTTACCACTTTAATGGCATTTCTGCAATTCCATGTTGATGAATGCCCTGGGGTCGCTGCATATATGATTCTGACATCTTCTTCTTCTTCTTCGTCTTCATCTTCTTCTCAACATTTTCCGTTTTCATTCTGACTTCTTCTTCTTCTTCTGACTTCTTTTACTTTTTCTTCTTCTCAACATTTTTCCGTGATCATTCTGACTTCTTCTTCTTTTTCTTCTTCTCAACATTTTTCGTGTTCATTCTGACTTCTTCTTCTTCTTCTTCTTCTTCTTCTTCTCAACATTTTTCGTGTTCATTCTGACTTCTTCTTCTTCTTCTTCTTCTTCTTTTTCTTCTTCTCAACATTTTTCGTGTTCATTCTGACTTCTTCTTCTTCTTCTTCTTCTTCTTCTCAACATTTTTCCGTGTTCATTCTCACTTCTTCTTCTTCTTCTTCTCAACATTTTTCCTCGTTCATTCTCGACTTCTTCTTCTTCTTCTCAACATTTTTCCGTGTTCATTCTGACTTCTTCTTCTTCTCAACATTTTTCCGTGTTCATTCTGACTTCTTCTTCTTCTTCTTCTTCTTCTTCTTCTTCTTCTTCTTCTTCTTCTTCTTCTTCTTCTCAACATTTTTTGTGTTCATTCAGGATATAGTTAGTGGCTATCTCTTTCTTGTTGCTGTCGTTTTTAGTATCTCCACCATTTGAAATTCTTTATTCAGTCTATTTTTACATTTACTATAACCTCTTTCAACATCCGCCTTCCTTTTTTTATTCGCCGTTAATATTCTGTCTGTTTCAAGATCGTAGAATCCACCTAATTATTTCTTTTATTTTCGTAATATTTACTGTTCTTCATTATCTTGAGAGAAATCATTAAATTCTTCTTCTCCTGCTCCTCCTCCTCATCTTCCCCTTCTTCTTCTTCTTCTTCTTCTTCTTCTTCTTCTCAACATTTTTTCGTGTTCATTCTCACCTCTTCTTCTTCTCAACATTTTTCGTGTTCATTCTGACTTCTTCTTCTTCTCCTTCTTCTTCTTCTTCTCAACATTTTTCGTATTCATTCTGACTTCTTCTTCTTCTTCTTCTTCTTCTTCTCCTTCTTCTTCTTCTTCTCAACATTATTTCGTGTTCATTCTCACTTCTTCTTCTTCGACTTCTTCTTCTTCTCAACATTTTTTCGTGTTCATTCTCACTTCTTCTCAACACTTTTTCGTGTTCATTCTGACTTCTTCTTCTTCTTCTCCTTCTTCTTTTCGTCGTCGCCGTCAGTGGTAGATTGCCTAGAGAGTCAGCTTAACCTATGGCAAGTGAGTCTCTGATGGAGTGGACCACAAATATCAAATAAAGATGCAATAAAGAAACAAAAGCTGATAGTTTTAGTAACAAAAAAGAAATAAAAACGGTATAAAGTCACCTGCACACTATCAGTTTCACAAGTCCAATGCGAGCGGACATTTTCAAAGCTAAACATCATAAAAAAGGTTTCGAAATTCGCTGAGAAGAATTTGGAATCGTACATGTTGCTGTCCATTGAAAAGGAATTGTCAAATGAATTAGATGCATAAGCTATTATTGACAAATTCGCACAACCATCTTGTGAACACAGACAATTGTTTTTAATACAGCGGACTGTATGCAATGCGTTTTGAACTATCTATTAATGGGCAAATTGAGCTGTAAACTATTTCGAAATATCAGCCAATTACTTAAAATTAAAAACATAAATAGAAAATTCAATTATAACATTTTTCTATATATATAGTTCTACACACAGTCATCTATTAAGATTTTGAACTATCTGTTAATGCGTAATTCGTGCTGTAAACTATTTTAAAATATTAATCAATTATAGAATTCCGTATTAACATTTGATACCTAATACCAGTAATATATACAGTAAACGTACGCTTTAATTACTAAGAAATACACATTTGTTCCACAATTTTTTTCCAATAGATATTATTTTCATATTTTATTTATTCGTTATAAAATATACAGACGTCTGGTTTTTGGTGTGCTCCATTTGTCTGCTGCAAACGAATTTTCCAGTCCGCCACTTGATGTAGACAATCACAGCGTTCCATAACTACCTCTCTTTGGTTCCTGAAAATAACTTTCGAGCATTTGCCTCTGTTCAGTCATTCTTTAAAAAAAAATGTTTTTCCTTCTGGTTTTCCTGCCTTTAAAAAATCCTGTAAGTGTTAAAATTTCCAGGCTGTCTTGTTTCATATGTGTCAAAAGAAATTTAATTCTCTCTTTCCAGTTTTATATTTTTCTTTGAATTTTCCTCAAAACTTCCTTTCTGTTCATATGTTCCGACTATGGTTTTATGAGCATGAGAGAAATCTCTGTTGCTGCAAATATCTTCTTTATTAAATTCACTGATATTTTTTTAGATTAGACATTACAGAGCAGTTCGGGATTATTTTATTTTGTTTTTAACGAGAATTTTCAACGTTTTCATATTTTCTTTTATTTATTTCTATGCAGATAAATGCGTATCATCTATAAAGATAAGAATCTGTATTGCTGCCCCAAATATCAGATATACAGGGTTTAGACGAACTAATTGAAACAGTTGCAAAATCCACTCCTATAATTCAAAGACCTATTATACTAAGAACTTTAACTAAAACATCGTAATTGCAGGTTATATCCATTGTAAATACGTTTATTTATCTAATTTACTGTCTTTGGCCTATTTATTTTTAGAATTTAGTAAAATTTAAGCTAAATGCGTGACCTCTCCGAGTTCGAAAAAGAGCAAATTGTTGGAGCTCGCATGGCAGGAGCTTCGATTACAAAGGTTGCTGAACTGTTTGGTTTTTCAAGAGTTACCATATCAAGAACACTGATGCAATTCGAGAAACAGGGAAAGACCTCTAGCAAACGTAGCAATTCGGGCCGGACATGCAAACTTACTGACAGGGATTGACGTGCATTGAAACGCAATGTGGGATAAAATCATCGGACAAATGCGGCCAAAGTAAATGCTGAGTTGAATAACTATTTGAATAGTTCAGATTCTACTAAAACTGTTCATCGTGAGCTCTAAAAGGCTGCATATCATGGAAGAGCCGCTGTGAGGAAAACTCTTCTCTCCACTCGGAACATTCAAATGAGGTTGAAGGGGTGCAGAGATCACAATGCCTGGTCTGCAGACTTAATTGGAGCAAGTCATATTCTCAAACAAGTCCAATTTTTCTCTTTTTCCAACTTCAGGGCGAGTTCATGTGTGGAGGCAGCCCAAAGAAGATTACAACCCTGACTGCCTTCTTCCAACAGTGAAGCATGGAGGTGGATCAGTCATAATTTGGGCCGGCATGTCATAGAAATAGTTGTCCTGCATGGTAGAATCAACGGCAAAGATTACCTGAACATTTTTGGAGATCATATTCATCCAATGGCCAAGACATTATTCCTTGATGGTGACTGCATCTTACAAGATGTTAATGCTCCAATACATACCGGTCGAGTGGTTTTGAATTGGTATGAAGAGCATGAATGGGAGCTAGAACACATGGACTGGCCTCCCCAATCTCAAGATATCAATATTATTGAACATTTGTGGTGCATTTTAGAGCAACAAGTTAGGAGCCGCTATCCTCCACCGTCGTGTCGTAAAGAGCTGAAGAAGGTTTTAATGGAAGAATGACTAAAATTCATCTGGATGAAGTCAGGAAGCTGTATGATTCAATTCCTAGACGTATTAAAGCTGTCTGTGAGGCCAAAGGAGGAGCAACTCCATATTAAATAAATTGTCTTTGAATTTAAGAAGTGTTACAATTATTTTTTTCCAACCCCTGTATATGTGTTGTATCTCGTGTTTTCAAGATAACAGAAGGAAATAAATAAGGAAGGCAAACTCGTTGGTAAGTAATGAAATAGAAGGTTTACTACACGATGGTTCACTTGACCTAATGCTAACTTCGTATATACCCGAGCTTCCCACAGAGCGGAACGTGACACAAGGCCGGTTTAACGTAGTTTTTCCGAGGTTGTAGGCCCAGTCAAAAATACCCGCAGACCTCGTAATAACGGGCTGGGTTTTTCTACCTCCCTAGATGAGAATCTGCCTTATGTATAGCCTCATCTGGGTTCGGCAAGTAGTAAGATCTTAACGGGCGGCTAAGACTTAATGCTGACTCGGTATTTACCCCCCCCCAACACACACACAGCGCGGGATGTGGCACAATGACGTTTTAACGTGAGTTTTTCTAAGCCCGTAGGCCCGAACAAAAGTTTCCCGTAGACTCGGTAGCAATGGCGTCGGTTTTATCTCCCTCCCCAGGTGAGACTCTCAGCATAATCTCATTTCTGTCCTTCTATGCTCGAAGGCAGAGAGTTCGACAAGAACTAAGAGCTTAGCGCGACTAAGACCTAATGCTAACTCTCCTCAA